CCCACCACTACCCCCCTCACCATTCTAGTACTCCTCAACAATCCCCCGGAGCTCAAGGGCAGCAAGGAGGTCTGGTTCAGGCTACTCAGAAAGCTGGCACTATGGGTCATATGGAAACGCAGATGCACGCAGACAATCGAGAAGACAGAAGGTGCAAGAGAGGAAATGTGGGCCGTGCTGCTGAGGATGGTGGAGACGGAAATCCGGAGCAACTGGCGCAAGATAATCTCCTCTACAAAGCTAAGACCAGACAGGCAAGCCATCAAGAGACGGACATTCCTTAGGGAGTGGTTGATAAAGGGCAAGATCGCCACCATAGCAGACAACAGGCTGGTATGGAAGAAGTGGTATCAATCACATACGTCGGGACATTAAAAGGCAGATCATGCACCATCTACTCAGGAAGCCGGCTCTATGGGTAATCTGGAAGAGGAGAGGTAACAAGACGACCAAAGGAACTGAGGTGCCAAGCGAGAGACGGGTGTTCATTAGAGACTGGCTCCAACAGGGAAGGATTGCCAATGTGGCAGATAGCAGACTGGTTTGGAAGAAATGGCACAGCACAAGGGCAGGGACCCAGTGAAAGGCAAACTGAGATTATAATCTCAACAGTATAGACAACTCTCCTCTTTTCTCGCTTCATACGCATTATCTGAAAGAGTCACAATAGATGCTGAGAGGAAAAGTGGAAGGGCAAGCTGACAGTCAATCCTCCTGATAAGGAGCAATCAATGCTGGTCAGGGTTCCTTCGGCCAGACGGAAGGAAGCGTGAGTGTTTCACCATGTATTCCATTTTTGACTTGCCGGTGGAAAGGAACCGGACTGACGCTCCCAGAATGGATATGGAGCCAGGACCATAAGGACCTGGTTTAAAATTTAAATAAATAAATTTAAAAAAAAAAAAAAAAAAGAAAAAACGGCTTTACGAAGTAAAACTACCGGAGAATGACGATAATCCACGGAAATATCTGCCGAAAAAAAAGAAAAAAAAAAAAAAAAAAAAAAAAAAAAAAAACATTTGTGAGCCTTACCAGGCTCTTCTGGTAACGCAGTGGAAGCAGGGAACAACTCACGTTTACGCTGAGGTGGTTAGGCAGGCCTAAACAATTCGGGCCCAGGCCACTGTCTTAATAAGCCTGGGCGCAGACACTTTTCCCCAGCCTGAAGCTACTGGGCACACGCGAGGTAAGGCCAGGATGCCATCAGGCCAGGCCACTTTGCATATAGCAAAGTGCCTGGCCGAGAGTTAGGCATTCGGGCACTTGTTGTGCAAGCAGCAGCGCTGCTGGAGCGATAGCTCACGCCTGCTGCTGGCGCTGGTGCTGGATAGCATGAGCGGGCGCTGGTTGAAGACAAAGGCGCTGCCTGGAAGCAGCACCATAGCCCAGGCAGCCATAGCCGGGCCTGGGGCCTGAAAGCTGGCAAGGTATGGTGGTGGTCCTACAGTAGGGGAAGCATGTGGGTGGAGAAGACGAGGGTGAGCATGTTGAGGGCAAGCGTGGGGGTGATGTGAGAGCACGTACCTGGTCCTGGCGGGGGCCTACATCGTCGACATCTGCATGTACTTTGGTTGCTGCTGTTGATGTCAACTGGTTGCTTTGTCATTTTGTAGGCTAGCTTTATAGCTGTAGGATCGTAGTCTGGGCGCTGTGCGCCAGCAGGGAGGAAGAGTGTTACATCTTCGACGCACACGGGTCCTACCGGACCCGRCTTAGGGCCGGAGGGACACATCAGGGCCTAAAGGCCCGACCTTGGGGTATTACAGGCCCTCAGGGCCTGATCTTGGACCAGTACCCGACGGGCAGKCCCAAACGGCATTATCGTTTGGGCCTGGCGGCGCTCTTGAGGCTGCCGCCCGCCGGTTGGGGCTGAACCGTCCATCTGGACGGTTCAGGGCATGGCCAGGCCTCGCAGCATTGAGGCCGGCCTCTGCCCCACCGGTATAGAGTACCGGTACAGCCTCACTTGGAGGCATCGACCTACCGGCACTATACCGGTACGGTATGGTCAGCGCCAGAGCGTTGTTTTGATGCGCTAATATAGCGCAGGAGCGAGCGAAGAGCAGCAGCGGCAGCGCAGCATTAGCGCAGCGGCAAGCGGAGCAGCAGCAGGGCGACTGAGCCAGTACGGCGGCCATTGCCGCCTGAGGTACCTGGGATGCCGGAGGACCTCTCCTCCCTCCCTCGTCAGTCCTCTCTCTCTCTCTCTCTCTCTCTCTCTCTCTCTCTCTCTCTCTCTCTCCTCCTCCTCCTCCTCCTCCTTCATCTTTTTCTTCTTCTTCTTCTTCTTCATCAGATTGGAGACTATACTAGTTGGACAGAGATCAGAGTTGGACTTCGGTGATAGGAGACTGTGGTACTTACCGGATTGGAGACTTGGAGATCGTTGGGGTTGATACTTGGCGACATCACAGTTCGGACACCGGTTACATTTGGACTCTGTTGTATCTCCGACATTGGTGACCTATGGTCCTCGACATTTTGATCTTGTTGGATGACATTTTGGACTACCATATCGGTGACCTATCAGATTTCTATCTYGGTGACTTTCAGTGCTGTCTACCTGCCCCACCTCCTTCGTCTCTCCTCCCCCATTCATCTGTGTATGTTGTGTACGGGGCTGAGCATCTTCTCTGTATGGCTCAGACCCCACCATCTGACGATTGTATGTGTGTGGAGTGATGCTATGTGAGTCAGTCTATGTGAGTCAGTCTATGTGAGTCAGTCTATGTGAGTCAGTCCGTTTATCAGACTTCCGCTGCATACATGCTCATCCTATATTGGTTGATCTTTGGTTCTGCCCATACTCATCGAAGTATGCAACAGTTTTGGTATCGGAGCAGACCAATAACGGATCTGCTCACCAGGTAAGTCCGTTTAGAATTAGATTAATTTGTTTGATCTTCTAAATCGGCGCTGAATTATTATCGAGATTAAMGTTGCAAAATTTCTTTTTTTCGGTCTTCTGGTTATTTCGGCATTCCGTTTCAATTCAGTATTGGACTTRTTATTCRGATTTSTGTTTTATGCCGGTACGCTGTTTAATTAGATCCGAGGAATTGATACTAATCCAACATTCTGTTTGATTCGGATTCCTGGTTAGTAATTCGTAATTAGGGTTGAATCAGTATCATGGTTGAAATTCGGCTTTTCTGATTTCCATTCAGCATTCCGTTTTTGGCATTCTGTTGTAAATCCTATATTTCGTTCTTCTTTTGGGATTTCCGTTGTCTTTCAGTATTGGAAATTAGGGTTTCGAAATCTTTTGGTTTTTTTGATCAACTTGGGAAATTCGAACGTTTTGGGACTGTAAATCCGGAAATTTCGCGGAAACGCGGAAAATTAGGGTTGGGACCGAAATTTTCGCGAATTTTTTTTTTTCGTTCCCCTTGTTGGAGAAATTCCGAAAATAGGGTTAGACCTTTAAAAATCGGATTTTGACGGTGGAAATTCCCGAAAATTCACGTTTTTGAAAATTCGAGCGTTTTTCTTCTGAAATTTCCCGAAATTTCTTCAAGCACACTAATCCCTATTTGACCCTCAAACTGCAACTTCCGGGTAGTTCACTCATTAACGGTGAACTCCCGGACTCAAGTGATCTCAAAGAGACCTAATCATAACACCATTCAATTTCGTTATTTATCATTAATTAATTTTACTGATTAAATCGTTATTAAATTCTTATTACGAATTTTGGAGTGATTTACAGAAATTTATTTTTCTGTTTGATTAGGTGTCTACAGTCCATCAGTGGGACAGGGGATTGTATGTATATTGCTTGATTGTTCTACCCCTGTTCCCACTCTCCCTACCCCCCTGTATTCTGTGAACACCGGCACCTCTCAAGTACCGCATCAGTTCAGACTGATGTCGATGGAACAGGACACCGGGGCACTGCCACGGCGCACTGCCAGGATCGCAGTTCGTGCCCGCCCTGCGGTACCTCCAAGACCCAAGAGATTCAGCAGACGGACGACTCCAGCGGCATCAAGTACGGCATTGACAGTACAAGACACCACCGGAGATCTTCCCGCATGCCAGGTCCGAGAGGCCAGCGAGCCTTTGGCTGACTATCGTGAGCGGCTACAGGCATTTACAGACGCTGTAGCCGCCGCCGAGGCTCAGCAGGCTGCGGCAGAGGCAGAACGTCAGCGGCTGGCCAATGAGGCGGCAGCCGAAGCTCAGCGGACAACTGAGACTGACGAAGCGGCACGAAACAGACGGAATGCCGCCAGCACGGAGTCCCTGATTGCTAGTGAGCATCAGTGGACAACCGTACTCCAAGGCATGATCTTTGTGCCTACGGAAACGCAGGCGGAGCCCACACAGGCGGAGGCAGAGAGAAGTAACCTGGCTACCGTGATGTTGAACGTAATGAGGGGAGTAATGTGGAACAACAAACTACTGCAGGCACACCTGCACGCGGAACGACAGATAAGACAGCAGTATCAGCAAGACCTGGCCGCTGTAACGGCCGACGTCCGCAACGCAGCAATGCAGCAGCAGCAACAGCAACAGCTGATGAACTCTACCATCGCACGCATCAACGGCATTGAGGCCAAGGCCTCAGCAGCGCCAGGCTGCACGACGGACGCGACGAAGCAAATCAACGAACGCATCGATCACGTCGTCACCATCATCAGCGACATAGGTGTTTTCAACGGACCGAACACGATCAGCAGCACGGTGGCCGCCMTCAAGACGGACATCACCAAGCTACATACGAGACCGGACGCCGCTACAAAGACGTTCAAGATGCCGCACTTCGACATCTGCAAGTTCGACGACTACAACAAGTCGGACGCTTTGACATGAAGCGTCATGCCGCACTGTCCCGGCGAACGACATGTTAAAGGCACTCTATTTGCAACTGATTGGAGGAGCGCAGGCATGGATGAACCACCTGGCGKCCACCCACAAGTGCACCATCGCCGAACTCCACACGCACATCACGTGGAAGGAGTTCGAGCAGCTATGGTTCACCCGGTTCATGGTCCGCAACGTCGTGAAGGCGGCCATGAATGAGGTGTACACATGCTCTCAGGGGAACATGCCAACTCGAGACTGGACAACGAAGTGGCAAAAGATAGTGACCACACCAGGCTTCGACTTGACGTTTCCAAATCAACGATCCGAGTTCTTCTCGCGATCATGCGCGGGATTGCGGTCGGCACTCGGTAAYGAGTACGACTATACCACATTCCAGGGCATTCAGGATCGAGCGAACTTGGTCATCCAAACGGACGACAAGGCTGCTAACGAGAGACAATCCCAACCGCATTATGTGGCTAAGCAGGCCTATCAACATCCAGCACATAACAATGCCGTGATTTCTGAGGAAACCGACGACCACCACGCTGCACCAGCATCCTCGGGTGATGGAGGAATTGTCGCAGCACTCCCGCCGAAGCGTCCCAAGAGAGTTCGTAAGAACAAGGCGACACAAGAGACGACAGCGACGGGAGCTGGGCAGCAGCCATGGACGACATATAAGATCACCAAGGAGGTCTATGACCTATGTCAGAAGTACGGATACTGCCTTTGGTGCAACGGAGTCACTCATGTGACCGCACAATGCCCCGAAAAGGGCAAGGCACGCGTACCCCGTCCAGCAAACTCGAGAAACTGAGTTACGCAAGGAGAGGGGCGACGTCTCTCCTCACTCCGCCGGACCCGGTTGCCTTGCTAGCAATCGATGTCACTACCGGGGAGCATGCGTTAGTCGCTGATTCTCGTGCTACGTACGAGGATTATGCCGCCCAGCTGGTACCACCATTAGACCAGCCTAGCCACGTGCATGTAGATTGCGTATGCGGAACCTGTACACCGTAGGCAAGTGATCCGGTCAGTTCGCCACTGATTTCCGAGGACTCGACGGCGTGGTCAAGACTTGAGGAGCTTGACCCGCTCACGAGAGAGGATTTCACTTGGATACCTCTACCCTCGACCGGAACATTGCCAAGGCCGCATTGCAACGCCTTGATGGCAAATCTACGCTTCTACTTGCACACTACAGTACCAGCTCCGTTGNGGGGGGGTACTGTCAGCCAGCCACCACCCTTCGGTTTTGGCCCAGTTGACCTTCATTTCGGATGCTAGTCGGAAGGCTTCCATTGCTCTGGCAAGGGCTTGAAAGGATGAGTTGTTGGCACGGATGAGGACTGTGAGATCGTCAGCAAACATAAGTACACTGGGGAGGGAGAAATCGTGCAAAGGGCTGTAGTTACATTCTGTTAGGCGGTCGATCGACGGGTCCTTTCGAAGGAAGGACGCTATGGCCTCCATGATGAATAAGAAGATGGGAGGAGCGAGGGGGTCGCCCTGGCGGACGGATCTCGAGATCGGGTAGGCATCAGAAATGATTCCGTTGACTTGGACTCTACCAGTGGCATCACCATATAAGATTCTAACCCATTCCCTGAACTTTGGTCCCACTCCCATTTTCTCCATACAAGCATGTAGGAAGTCCCAATTAACTTGATCATAAGCCTTCTCGAAATCGAAGAGGATCGCCGCTTTCATTCTTTTTTCGGTAATCTTCTTGGCCGCTTCGTTCAATGTCATCACGTTATCGAGTATGTACCGCCCTGGGATGAAACCTGTTTGGTCAATGTGGAAGCATTTGTCAGTGAGGCTTATGATTCTGTTGGCCAATGCTTCTGCCAGGATTTTGTAGGGGGTCGTGAGTAAGGAGATGGGTCTGTAATTTTTTAGGTCTTCCTTTTCCCCCTTCTTGTGGAGTAGTGAGACTACGCTGGTGCTGAGATATTGGCCTAGGCCTCCCTTGTCTCTGCTGTCATTGAAAAAGTCGAGAAGATCGTCCCCTAATATGGGCCAGAACTGCATCCAGAACTCTTTTGATAGGCCATCAATACCTGGGGCTTGGCAACGGCTCATGCCGAGTAAGCATGGCGCCCCTAACAGCAAGGAAGAAGTGCTCAGGCAGCCACTATTCTGCAACCCCTGGATCACAGACACAGAAGGCAACCCTTGGACTCTGCACCCCAAAGACCGAAGGTGGCTGTCCCGGCTAGAAAAAGGTGTCTGGCAGGTCAAACACTTATGGTCAGAGGAACTAAAAGACTGGTTGGCAGAACAAGATATGCGAATCCCCCTGAAGGGATGCCACTCCTTGGAGACCAACCTCTCTATGCTACGGCAGAGCATCCCACAGCGATGGATAACCCTACTAAAAGAAGAGTTCACTTGGAAGCCTGGAGATTGGGGCCTACTCATCATTGAGACCCAGCCAAAGAGAGCGTACCGGTTCATTAGTCATCTTACAGGATCAAGCCACAGGGCCAAGTTCATCTCGTACCCGATCGACAGCCAGAATCCCTTGGAACCAACAATCCTAAACTCGGACCCGCAGAACGAGACCTTAGAAACTTTCACACTCAGGAAGGTCAGGGTTTCTCAATCTAAGCCATGGCTGATCTTCCGACCTGACCCCAGCATCAAGGATCTGGAATTCGACCCCAAGGAATGGAGCTGGAGAGAAGATGAAACGAGTAAAACAAGATCTATATATGAGTACGATGTTCAATTCGGGTACAATCTCGGACTGCAAACCGTAGACCCCAATCCCAGACTACTGGAGAGATGGAAGAAGATACTGGATCTCAACCCCACAGCCTCGTTCACTATCCCATGGGCGAAATACCTCCCTAGAAGACCGGTGCGAATCCGCAGCATGCAATGGCTCATAGCCCACGCGGCCCTACCTGTAAACCAATGGCTTCATAAAAGGAGACAACTCTCAGAGCCGAGAAGTTCTGAACTATGTCTGATGTGCAATACTAACACACCATAAGACATTCCACATTGCCTTCTCTTCTGCCCCGAAGCAGCCTGGATCTGGAACAAAATCCAAAACCTATGGCTCACCCTCTTCGCCTCCCCCCCCCCCCACCACTACCCCCCTCACCATTCTA